GGAATGTAACCAATTTATTAAGTTCATGAAATGAGAACCTGACAAAAGCTGTTGTGATCAATTAAATTGTAGTATGTGAACAATAACGAGCAACACCAATTTAAAATAATGCAATATGGGAATATAGTAGGCTTAACCAATAAAATAAAGATTAGTATGTATTAACATTAATCACAACAACCCCGTCTGAATAGGCAAAAATACAGTAACCTAAGCATAAATCAGACTAACCAACTTAAATTTGCACTAAGAGAAACCTGAAAGTGCAGTTTGCAAAAGCTAAAACTAATATATAAATAATTAAACTCAATAAGAACATACATGTGTAGAGAGCATTTGAGAATTTGATATGACAAAAAATAAATAAAAAATGCAGTAGGCCTGCTTTAGTGCACCAAAACATTAAAAAAATCATAATTACTAAAACAAAGCCTCACGATATTGGCAACACAATGAACTAACAGTGCATTACCTTGAATATGCATATGCACAGATTTTAAGTATTATAATACATAAAGCACTATGATTAAACAAGTGTAAAAAATTCATAAGGAAATAAATAGAACTCAAACATTATAAAACATAAAGGAGCAACCAAATGATTCATTCTACAATTATATGTATTATGATTAATTCACCATAAAACTACATTTCCTTGTTTGAAAAATCTGATCATCGCCACAATCAGTCAATGAAAATACATATGGAATTGTACCTAAAATATAAGGGCTGGAATTGTTGGTTCTGTTGCAAACTCGACCCAATGCCTGCCTAGCTGTAGTAGCCATTTTCTCTCACTCTCATGAGAGAGGAGAGTGTGTTTTGTTTGCATGAATATTAAACTCACATTTTTTGTTTTACTTGGAATTGACTTTTTGCTTTATTTTACTCTGTAATGCATTCCTCATTTAGGTTGGTATCTAATTATATCCCTTTCATATCTCAGGGCCCGTTTGGTGTGGTTTGGAGATATGATATGGATTTCAAAATTTGAGAGAAATGATAAGGGTTTTGAAATCTGAATGAAAAGTGTTTGGAGAAAAATTGAATAGAATCAAATCTCAATCTTTTGTGTTTGGAGAGTTTAAACTCTGTATTTTCTGATTAATAATCCGTATAAAATAATTTGAAGAGATACTAATTTTTTTTCATTTTATGCCAGTATTACTTTTTGGGCAGAAGGTATTGAGGAAGAGATAAATATTTAACTTCTTATGCCAAACTATGTTACAATCAATCTTAGTTTCGTGATCCGAGGCAGGATCTTTAAAGCACATTTATCCTTGAGTTCACTGGCCATCTTTTAGTGTTTTTAGATTTAAATGGAAGATATTACAAAGTACAAACAAATACGTCCAAGAAATTCATTAATAGATTAATATTCCCTCCTCCGTCTCAAAACTAGAACCCCGTTTCGAAATACGAAGCAAAAAGTATTTCTTTTATGTATATTTTATTTGAAAAATGAAATAAAATTACAAAATAAATTTATATATTTAAAATTACATCAAAATAGGTGTTAGAGTGCATCCCACATCAAAAGTCCAAGAGTAAAATAATCAGTATATAAGCTCTTGAGTTGAACGAACTAATCGATTGGATTCAATCTTTTAATGTGGTTCAGTCCAAGTGTCTTATTGCTCAATCTAGTTGTCCATACTCAATCCTAAATTCTATCATGGTATCAGAGCAGGTTTTGGCCCACCCCGTTTGTCAAGGTGTCTGTCTAGACGTTCATTCCTAGCGGCCCAATAGTCTTTAGCCCAGTTGTCTGTATGAAGTATGTACCCAACGGCCTGTGGCCCGTTTAACACGATTGCTCGTCTAGAATTCCATACCCAGCGGCTCGTGGTCCTTTAGGTGTTGGCGCTAGGGGTGGACACGGTACCGGTACCGGAAACGGTACCGCCGGTTCCGGTACCGTTACCGTCGGCCGGTACGGTCCACCGGTTCCGGGAACCGGTACCGGTACCGCCCAATCCGGTACCGGTTCCGGTGCCCATTTTTCGGTACCGGCACCGGCGGTTCCGGTACCGTTACCGTTTTTTTTTTTTTTTTTTATTTCATTCTTTCCTTTATCAATTTCATTTTTAGATTTTTTTATTTCATCATTTCCTTTAACAATTACACATTTACAATTTTACATTTTAAAAATATAATAAAAAAGCAAAAAAAAAACAAAATTAGGGGTGGCCGAAACGGTACCGGAACCGGAACCGTCCCGGAACCGTACCGTGTCCACCCCTAGTTGGCGCTAAAAAAAAGTTAAGGGAATGGGAGTTCATTTGCAAGTGGTCAACCGGTTATATTCAAAATGACCCGGTTGTCCACTTGAGGGGGAGTGTTAGAGTGCATCCCACATCGGAAATCCAAGATTAAATAATCGGTATATAAGCTCTTGAGTTGAGCTAACTAATCGATTGGATTCAATCTTTTAATGTAGTTCAGCCCAGGTGTCTTATAGCTCAATCCAGTTATCACTACCTCATCCTAAATTCTATCAATAGGAATTTTATAGACGAGGAATTTCTTAATGAACTAGAACAGGTAGCACATCTTTACCAACGAGAAATTCTGTCTGATCTCCTGCACCAGGTTCGAGCTTCATTCTTCTTCAAGGTACTGTCATCAACACATTATCTTCAAACATGTTTTCAATTGATCGATTCAGTCTGAGTTTTGATTACTACTTGTTTAAATTTTATTCGATCTCCCTTTTGGGTTGTTGTAAGTTGTTTGACATTAACTTTGGATAACTCACATGAATTTATCAAACAAAACAAAGTTAACCAGTCAACATCTAACAGCATATGAAAGATGTTTTATAGCCCCCCAAGAGGTAATCGTATTTGTGATATTCTCAACAAGCCCATTATATTATCTCATTTTTCTGGTACTGATTTTTGTTGAGCAATCTTTTAGTGTTTTAAAATTTAAATAGAAGATATTACAAAGTACAGACAAATACGACCAAGATATTCATTAATAGATTAAAATTCCCTCCTCCTCCGTCCAAAAACTAGAACCCCGTTTCGAAATACGAAGCAAAAAGTAGTTCTTTTATGTATATGTTATTTGAAAATGGAATAAAATTACAAAATAAGATTTATATATTTAAAAGTTACATCAAAATAGAAATTTTATAGACAAGAATTTGTTAATGAACTAGAACAAGTAGCAGCACTTTACAGGCGAGGAATTTTGTCTGACCTCATACGCCAGGTTCACGCCTCATTCTTACTTAAGGTACTGTCATCAGTACTCAATCTTAAAACATGTTTTCGATTGATCGATTCGATTTGAATTTTGATTACTACTTGTATTAATTTTATTCAATCTCCCTTTTGGGTTGTTGTAAGTTGTTTGACATTGAATTTGGATAATTGGTATGAATTTGTCAAACAAAACAAAGTTAACCAGTCAACATCTAACAGTATGTGAAAGATGTTTTATAGTCCAAGAGGTGATCATATTAGTGATACTCTCAGCAAGCCTATTATATTCTCTTATTTCTCCGGTATTGATTTTTGCTCAGCCATCTTTTAGTGTTTTTAAATTTAAATAGAAGATATTACAAAGTACATACAAATGCGACCAAGATATTCATTAATAGATCAATATTTCGTCGTCCTCCGTCCCAAAACTAGAACCCCATTTCGAAATACAAAGGAAAAAGTAGTTCTTTTATGTATATGTTATTTGAAAATGGAAAAAATATAATTACAAAATAAGATTTATATATTTAAAAATTACATCAAAATAAGAACTTAATAGAAGAGGAATTTGTTAATGAACTTGAACAAGTAGCACCTCTATACCGATGAGGAATTTCGTCTGATCTCTTACACTAGGTCCACGCCTCATTCTTACTTAAGGTACTGTCATGAAAACACTATCTTCAAACATGTTTTCAATTGATCGATTCGATCTAAGTTTTGATTACTACTTGTATAAATTTTATTCAATCTCCCTTTGGGTTGTTGTAAGTTCTTTGACATTGAAATTGGATAATTTGTATGAATTTGTCAAGCAAAACAAAGTTAATAACCAGTCAACATCTACCCGCCGAATGAAACATGTTTAATACTCCATGAGGTGATGGTATTAGTGATATTCACAACAAGCCTATTTACATTCTCTCATTTCTCCATTACTGATTCTTGCTGCTATGATATTCACAGAATTTGTATTATTTGTACTCCATTTTGCTTGCTTCTCCTACGGGGTAATTTTTAATTTTTTTCCCTGACTGGCACCATATACTTTTGTAAATCTTTTGAACTTCTTTAGGTGAAAATTAATTTTAATTGTAATTACGTGAACTTCTCCTTTGGCTTGAGTGGTAGGAAGCCCACTCCCCAAGATTCATGAGAATGCTCACCCAGGTTTGATTCCAAACAAACGCGGAAGCATTGACTTTTTGTACACCATTAGATTGATAATAGTATGAACATACACAATCTTATAATAGAGTCAATAGTACTCAAAAAAAATGTAATCACATACACCCTCTCTGTTCATTAAAAAAAGCTCTACACTTACCTTATCGTCAATCTCAAAATAGGGAAAAAGACTAAAGTATGAGTAAAACATTGAAAATATATCAAAATATGACTTCCATGTTTTTATTCTCGAAATAGGAGTTAAAATGCATTTAAATTAACAAACATTGTCATGTACATTACCAAAAAGTGTAATAATGTACAGTGCCACATTATAACCACATTACTACAATGAAAAGTCATATTTAGAGAATAAACACAAAGAACTCCTTTTTTGGTAATTTTTTCTATGTTTAGTCTTATTTAGGGTTATTTCTACTCAAAATAAAGTTACATTTTCTATTTTAGGAATCTAAATCGTATATTTCTATTTTAGGAATCTAAATCGTATAATATTATTTCTATTTCCTCTTCATCAATTTCAACTTTTTAATAACAATACCAATTCCATTGTGCAATCACGGAGGAAGTATAACATTGTTGATGACTAAAAAAACAATACACTAATGTCTTTTATCCGCCTTTTTTACACACTAGCAACTATATCTAAACATTTAATTTTAATACAAATATGATTATACGACATAGTATTATTAAACTTGTTTCCCCTTGGCCAGCTCTCATGCCTCCTGGAGCGAACGGAGATTAGTCGAATGGACACGAACCGTAAAACAGACAGAGAAAGACCCACAATCTCAAGGTTTACACCAAAAGACTTGTTGTAAGACTTTAAAAGTTAAAACCCAACAAAACTTAAGCAAATATGTACACAAATTTTAAAAAAAAGAATCAAATTCTTCAGCGAATGGTTTATATGAATCAAATCAAAACTGTGGACTGTCAAACAGGCACCTCCTGATAGATGCAGTGAATTCACCCACTGGACCAGGGTGAAGAATAATCGCACATACTCCAAAACAAACAGCAATAGCAGAGACTGCAAACACAAGGGGACGGCGAGTAGCAAGAAGCTTTTCAAATAAAAGGCTACAAGACTGCCGCTCTTTGTTGAGATTCACACTCGCAGTGATGTTTAACAATGGATCGGTAGAGCTATTATTATAATCTGGAAATGTCAATCTTGATTCTGTATTGCAAACGTTGTTTTCCACACCCTGCATTGTAAAGATCCACATTATCTGAAGCAGGGAATATAATCCCGGGCGCAATATAGAAATCATACTAATGACACAATGTATGCAAGAACAGCGCAGTTCAAATAGGGTGACAGCGCACCATTTGAGGACCATACAGTGCTGCTTTGTTGGGCCCAAGACCAAGGGATAGGTTTAGGGGTGCTCTTTTGGGAGAGGGTGCACCCGTGGGGTATGAGTGTAGGAGTAGGACCTGTTCCCCAGCCCAACAAACACCGTAGGGCTCTCAAATGGGACCCATGTCACTGTAACACAGGTGTCACTTGAAAAGTTCCGATGTAACTATGTCGTGGGACATGATAGACTTGCCTTTTCCATAACTGGAATTACATGTTGCATTTTGTCTTCGTACATATGGGCTAAGGATGTCCCTGCCTTTTTAAAATTCCCCATAAGAATATCTCCGCCCTTAAATCTTTGAGAAAGGATTGCTTCGGTGCCATCTAAAGTAGCACGAAAAGTGTTTATTTCAGGATCAGTAACATTAGCAACTACTGCACTGCTGTCTACCACTACTTTGATGTGTGTCAGAGCTCTTTGTAGTATTGAAGTTGACTCGTTTTCTATCAAAAGGTTTAATAGCCTTCTGAATCTTTGCATCCGATTAGAAGTCAACAGTTGAGTAGTTTCTTCTACCGCAGGCTCCCGTATTAACCATGCCACGTCAAGCATAAAATCTGATAATTTCGAATCTCTTAAATCAGAATGCTCACATGAAGGGCAGCCTGAAGCAATTTTTGCAACCTTGGGTTGAAGAGACGTATTAAACTGTGCTAGCAACCTCCCCATTTCTGAACATATGTCTTTGCTTGCAATGAGAACAGGAACAAAGTTTGACAAGCCAGACTCATTTTCAACCTACAAAAGAGTTACTATTAACTTATAAGCATTAATGGATGATAAGGCAAAAACAAAAAAACAGAAAATATAATGCAGCTGGCTTCCTTGCTTACAAGCTAAGAACAAAGACAATACCTAATATCCATACTTTAAATTGTACACCGTATATGATTACAAAAATATATTCTACATATTTGCTCTAGATAGAAGGGATTTCTTTGTAGGTCTCCAAACAACCAGAATCCTGGCTGGAAAAATTGATGGAAAAAGGCAGTTAATGGATGATGCCAAAAATGAATAGATGTTAACAATATATTGTGTTCTTTATTTACCTCAATAAATGCTGGGCCAAATAGATCTGCATTGACTCGAGGAACATTGACCTTCAACAACTGATGGTCTAAACTACAAGAATCCCGTTCAATCTTACAACACGATGAAATGCAAAAATCATTTGCCAAATACTTCCCAGAAAATGATACAAGAAAGCTGTCATATGTAAGATAAGATAGCTTTAGTGGTTTTCTTAAGACATTCAGATGCAACAAGCATGAAAAGGTGTCTAGAACAGATCTTAGTTTTTCTTGGAACAGTTTCGAATTTGCTTTCAAATTTTCCATTCCAAAATCAAGACTCAAGAGTTTAATTTGTCGTCCCAAATGTATATGTAATGAAGCAAAAAATAATGGCAGCCACATAAGAGATAATGTTTGAAAAACAAACAAAAAGTAGAAGCTAAATCAGTCTTTGATTAAAACAATGTTGAATTACAAGTGACCACCAAAGTTTGACCAAAAAAGGGATGCAAACTAGAACAATAAGCTTATATGAAGCTGTTCTTATCAATATCTTCTTTTGATGATTGTATATTATCAATTTGCAAAAAATACACTGATAAACCATGCACAAAGCTGTTTTATCAGTGTACAACATTAATAATCATACCGAATTTTAGATTGAAGTAGATTGCTTCCACATACATAGAACTCCATAGGTTTGCCAGCTTCAAAACAAGTGGGATGCACATAGCAGAGCATTGGAGTTTTCCCTTTTAACTTCACTTTCATTATTGATGTTCCTCCTGTTAAGAAAATTCAATAGATTGTTTTAAAAAATGGACATTTAATATAACATGGCATATTTTCAGTGTCTATATGCATATTATATGCTCCAACAGCCTCATCCATTGTCCAACCCCATACATCTTACCCTTTGCAATGCGAAACACCATGTTATTCAGATAAACAAGAAAGGTGCCTCTTCCAAGGAGCATATTTCCAGGTGAGAGCACAAGGTCTTGCAACTGTATTATTGGTTCTTCTAACAACTGGAAAAAAATACATTATAAATATATTATATGTGTATGCAACACAAAGTAAAAAATAAGTACTTATCACACGGCATTGTTTTTCGACATACATAAGTATGCAGACTAATATACCCAATTTATAACCGTGAGGTTCAAATTCGAATAAAATTCATTGAGCTATAGAGTTGAATATGAATCATCTTGAACTTTTATTCCTTGATGTCAAAATAGAAAAGCTATTGACATTATAACATAGACAAAATAAAGGTATATTTCACTCAATTAAAATTCTAATGAAATGTTTTTATTTCTCTGAATCAAGATTATTACCCAAACAAACACATTTCACGCCTAGCGTCTTTCGGATTCAGTGTCCCTACTTTCATAGGTAGGAAGGTAGGATTAAGGTTGAGTGTGTGAGTGTGGAAGCAAATCTATGTGATGAACATCAAGATAACTGAATTTAAATTACCTTTTTCCACTTGAAATGTGGCATCACAATAAATACTGTCAAAATTGTACAACCAGGACGAATATATCCCTCCAATTCAACTGGCATGTTGGCCAACCATTGGAAAATCTGTTGCAATTTTCACTATCGTCATATCATAACTAAAATTCTCCTTCCAAATAACAACAAAACTTCACCTCTACTACTAAACAGTGATAATAATCATTTAAGTACTTGGTGTCGTAGACGTCGTGGGAACTCAGCAGGGTTCCAGTCATAAAGCTTGAATGAGATCCGACCAGTAGGGCACTACAAGATGCCATTTCATGATTCCATCAGTGCAAAGCATTTCAAAATCTGATGTCTAAATTTTAAAATGCACTATGAAAAGGATCAAATGAGTTAGCCATACAACAGAAGAAAGTGAACTCCTATTGTCACAATAGGGAGGAGAATGAGTGTCTTTATTGTTTTCTTTCCCATTTTTGCTTTGTATTTCACCGGGAGCTGGAGAAATTCTAATGCTACCACTGTGGATACTTTGGGAGCCTATTGTGGAGCAAAGTGCCGATTGCTTCCCTTCAGATTCCAAGACTGCTTCTCGTTCAATTATTTGGCTATCTATGCCAGTGCCATCTGTACATATAGACTCCTCTTAGGTACAAAAATTTCAGGGCATAAGAGTTGAGAATAGTTGCTGCTTCAAAACCTTAAATTACTACTCCCCGCCCCGAAAAACGATTCCACATTACCATTTTGTTTATCCCAAAATGTTGTTTCGCTTTCCTTTTAAAGATATGAGTGTATGTTTACATCATTTCTCTCTTCTACATAACTCTCAACCATCCAATTTCATCTTTCTTATTAACCGTGTCTGATTAAAAGTGGAACCTTCATTCAAGATGGAGAAAGTATTATGACAAAAACCCATGTTCTGGAAAAAACTACTGTCCTTAAAAAAGGTTGAAAGGTGGTTCATTTCACTGCTCCTAAATTATGAAGGCTTTGTAGACTAAATTAAAGCATCAAACATGCACACAACCTTACTCTACTTGTGGAATCAATCATTATGCTTTAGCTCATGTTCAAAGTTCAAACAGTTATTGGGTGAGCACTTGACAAGTTGACAACTATGACAAGCTCAGCATTCTAGAAAAAAGATTCGAAGTTCAAACAGTTATTGGGCGAGCACTTGACAAGTTGACAACTATGACAAGCTCAGCATTAGAGAAAAAAGATTAGTCTAGTGTTCAACGTTCCTGCATGGCTGCATCATACAGTATGTGGGAGAAGCATCCATATGATTGTATATCTGATGGTAATTCGAGTGTGTTTGGATCACAGAAAATACTAGGGAAAGAAGAAAAACTTCTAAGTTAGTTTGGGCCTGTTTGGCAACATTGTTAGAGTTTAGTGTTAGCTGTTATCAAAAGAGTTAGGGTTATTATTGTTTTGAATTTTAAGGTTCGGTAATTGAACATTTTAAAAAGCTAATAACACTTCAAAATTATTAAAAACCCGATATGCTGAGTTCACATTGGCAAGGCGCCTACTTACAGAGGCAAATTGTGAATGTTTTCATTGCATTTTTTCTTTTTTTTATATTAAATATCAGTTCAAGGAGAAATTTCTTAAATTTCTTTTTTATTAAATATCAGTTCAAGGAGAATTAAGCAGATGACTGTTCTTGATGAATCAGACCTCAAAGAAGAAATCTTACCGGAAAACAATGATATCCCAAATGATAGACAAACGAATTGAGTTACGAGTTTGATTAATGAATCAGACGGTTTGGTTTCTTGATGAATCAATTGACGAATCTGACCTTTACCAGCTCGATTGATAAATGTAGTTTCTTGATGAATCAAACCTTTGTGTTTTCTTTGGTGCTCGGCAAACGACTGGTTCTTTATGTACTAACAAATGGAGTTACGCGCTTGATTGATTTCGTCTAGATTTTTCAGGAGTAAGATTGGTAATCCAAGATCCTAACACGGTTTTGCTCATTGAACGCTAGGGGGTCCAGCGTTGTGCTTTTAGAGTTAAGAAAATTTTGGAAGGGATATAGCAGCTTTTCAAAGCTTCTCATTTGACAGTAAACAAACACGTGAATTTCGGATGAACAGCATTCCGCGTTGAAAACACCCTTACCAAACAAGACCTTTATAATGTTTGATTTTACCGTGGGAAACACAATGGAAAATAAGATTTGTACTTTGTTTTACCTCCGTCCAAAATTAATTATCCACTTTCTTTTTTTTATCCGGAATTAGTTGTCCACATTCCATATGCAATAATGAAATTAAGATAAATTGTCTAAAATATAGGGTGTGAGCATTATTGACATGAATGAGAGACAAATTCAGTTAAAGGACTCATTTGACATTTTAAACTCATTTGTTAAAAATGATTTTTTTTTAGAAAAGGGACAGCAAAATCCGGACAGAGTATATTATATATTTAGATTTCATAGTATTAATATAATAGAAATAAATAACTAAAAGGAGTTTGAACAAGAATCTAGATTAAATTTATGTAGTTACTAGTTAGAGCCTATCTTTTCCCCCAAATTTTTTAGTTCCTTCCATATTTCTCTCTTCTTCCCAGTTTCCATAGTATTTTCCAATTTCCAAATAGACTTTCAAAGCTCAATAATATCCACAAGTACCATCCGGTAGATCTAAAATTATATCAAGTCAGCAACAAAACCTGAAAAATCTCACAAAGTGGATTCCAAGGAGAGTGAGTGCCAGCAGACATTAGCAGACATTACCCGTACGTGGGATGTAGGGAGGCTTTTTCCAAGAGACCATCAACTTAAAACAAAAGGAACAGGGAAAATAAAGACAAAAGAGAGGAACAGCAAACTAAGGCAGCAAGCCCTACACAAGGGTAGAGCACTACCCAAAAGCCTACACTACCACCTTAATTTTAGACCGTTGGATGCTCCTATCTAAGAACATATCCTCGGTTAGCTTAAAGTCGTAAGTCATGTCTAATCACCTTGCTGCAACCCTTCTTTGGTCAATTGGTCTACCTTAAGTTTACCACTATCCCTTCTTACATCCCATATTTCAAGCCTCTAGCACCTTCCACAGGAGCATCCATACTCTTCTTGAGCATGTGCCTATTAAATACAACTTATGAACAAAACAAAAACATGCACACACAAACTAGCAAATTATGAATAAAAAAAATTAAAAAGAAAAACACAGAAATTTATAAGCCATCAGAACATAAAAGATATACAAGAAGAAAAAATGGTTTTGTTATAGAGAACACAATTCCAGCAATTCAATTGCAATAGGACAATAGTGGTGTAAGAGTGAGTTAAAAATACCTCTGCTGGAATCCTCATCAAAATCACCCTCATCGGCTACTAAAACCTGTTGTGGTTCTTTCTCAAATGAATTTTTTGGATCTACAGATTTTCTTCTGCGTCTATTGTTATGGCGTTCAAGTTTCCTTCGACAACTACGCTTACCTTCATCAAAGTCCAATAAAACATGAAACCTGCACAAAGAATAAGAATCAAGTTTAGTTGCTTGGTGTGGATTATTCGCTTAAGTGGAATTTAAAAAAAACCATGTTGAAAGTTGTTGATACTTGATATGAGCCAAAAGTAACAGTGAAGATGACGCACTACTGAAGATGATTCACATAGAAAGTCAACATAAAGAGAAAGACTCATGGGTTTTGTGAAGTCAACATTTCTTGATAGTTATCACAAGCTGTAATTGAAATGCAAGGGATGCCATTAGAGTAAGACCCAAAAGAGTAGGAAACCCCTTTCACATAGCTGCAGTTATCATTTAAGCACTTTTCTGGAATGAATCTGGTCAATTTGCAAAAGCTTTGCATTAGATTTTGTCAAATTGATAGTGAGTTAATGAAAAATATCTCCAAAGTGAAAGGACTAAAACATCAGTGGAAAGCCAAGACTGCCTTTTGTTTAAATGATTGAGTGCATTCAATTATTGCAGAGTCGCAAACACAATATGCACTAAAGTCAATGCAGTAAGTTGAACTTACAGCAGTATATGTTAGTATGTTACTGCATATGCATTGACCAACATTACTGCAATGTCACAAATGCAGTATATGTTAATGCATATGTACTGGCCAACATTACTGCAGAGTCGCAAATAAAGGATAAATAAGGCATGGAAACAAGGAAATGCAAGGAAATAGGAGTATGTAAGTCTTAAATTTGTAAAAAAAATAATGCACTCCTATTTGGGTTAATAATCAATGATTTACTTCTATATTGGGTAATTTTCTCAAACAAATCCATTTCTAGCGGATCATAAGGTCTAGGTCTGATCAAAAGCTAGAATCACCTAGAGTGTCATTCTGTCACATGAAATTAATAAACATAAGCCTTAAAAGCTGCTCATTATCATAATGTTTTCAAAAAATTTATGTCAAAATTTGAACTTTAAAACTTTTATCTTCTAGGTTGAACATAATCACTTAATAAAAATACTCATATTAGCCAAGCAATGTTAATAATATGCATATATAATAATGTAAGCATGATTTATGCATCAACTGAGTATGCATACATAACAATGACATCAGTAAGAAAGTGCTCTAACATATGTTTGGAGGCTGAAGTTACACCTTAGCAAAATAGTAATAGATTAAGAGACTCGAATCAAGAACGAAAATGAAGGGAATGAATGAAAACGAGCATACTTGCCACATTGCTGGCAATATCTCTTGCTCTCCCCATCAAGAACCACCGATTTTGCGTTGGCACAGCGCAGGCAAACCCGATGTCTCTTATGATAGCCTTTGAGCTCACTAATATCGGCCTCACAGCCAGGTACTTGACATAGAGCAGTGGACAGTCCTGCAGCAGAAGCTCGGGACGTGCGGGCCTTCTTCCCTGCAGACCCAAGAGTAGCGAGCTCTTCCTCCTCCAACTGCTCATCTATCTCCGGGCAGGCACAGGGGATCCGTCCAGCCAGAAAGTTGGAGCAAACCATCCTGGGGTCTCTCTTCCTGACCCGACTCAAAGCGGAATCCCCACCACCAGAAGTCGTAGTCGGCACATCCAGAGATGGTAGATCCGATTGCTGATCCTGGTCGGAATTGAACGAGATATTGAGCTGATCGTCGAGGCTGAACTCCAGGAAGTCAGACCAATCAAAGATCGAGGAGGCTGCCGGGTCTTCGGAAAGATGGGCAATGTCAGAAGACATCTGGGTATTTCCCAATAGCGCCGGCGGGGATTCAATAGGCGGCGGCTGGTGAGCCTGATTTTCCATAACCTCCGAAATACTTGTTGAATCCTGAAAATCTGGCAGACAGACGAAAGGGTATGGCGAGAAGGAAATGAGAGAGAAAAGGGGTCGTGGCGTAGTCGCGTAGAAGGATGGTGGTGAGATATTGGAGTCAGTGGTTGTTGGGGTGGTGGCGTTTGGTGGTGACTGACGGGGAGACGAGAAAATCTGGGAGGCTATATGTTCGTGTGGCAAATGAACGAAGGGGGTGACAAAAAAAAGAGTATCAATTTTAATTTTGTTTACTTTATTTATTAGACAAATTATATCGTACAGCCGGCTGTACGGGAAAAATCGTACAACCGGCGGAAATAAGTGAGGATCGATGAAGTTTGCAAAGAGGAGAGGAGCGTGACGATCGAAGAAGCCGGCAAAGGAGAGGCGACGACAAAGGGAGGCGCGAAGAATGGGAGCGCGAAAACGATGGAGAATGGCAGGATGAGGGAAGGCGATGGTGGCGGCGGTATAGTAAGGTGGAAACCCTAGGTGGTGGGACTGAAGAAGAAGAGATGGGATTGGAACAAATGGAATAGACGAAGATCCAATGAAAAGGGTAGGGATGAAGAAGATGGTACTGAACTTTTTATTTGTGAAAGAATTGAACAATACTTTATTTCAGAATGAGCGTTTCCTTATTTGAAAATGAGTATTGTTTTTTTAAGAATGAACACCACGCTATTTTTTATAATTATACTCCGTATTAGACAAATGTGTAAAAATGAGTACTTTATTTTAAAATGAGTACTACCTTTGTCAGAATGAGTACTACATATTTCGAAATGAATGTTTATATTTGTACGAGAATGAGTACTACTTTATTTCAGAATGAATACTACCAGGATGTACTTATTTCTACGTACATCCGGATGTACCATATACCAACTCTATTTATTATGGATTGAAGTATTTATACATACATGTGAAAAGATAAAGTCTGATAAATAAGGAAACAAATTCTTTCAATTCGTAAGAGTAATAAATTTCTCATATTTAACACTCTTCTCAGATATGTCATCGTTCATTATACACTAACAACACTATACTACTGGATAATGTTGGCTAGGTTTTTCGGGGCCTATATTAACTGATACTGCACGATCAGTTGTGCTGCCTCGCTAAACACCTTACTAAGAAAATCTGGTGGGACAAAATTTAGTTAAGGAAAAAAGAGTACAACGTGTATAATATTTTCCTTCAAAATAAAAATTATGCTCCCTCTCAAAACAATCAATGTCTTTGAGTTCATGAAGTGAGTTGCTTGAGATGCTTTCTTGATACAGATTTAAAAGCAGGTCCACCGTGTTTTAGCTTTCTTGTGAATATCAATCTCCCTCTCTTAATAGAGATCATATGTCGTCGATGAGAGCTTTGGGGAGATGTGCTTCATTCTATTTCCCTCGATACAGCTTTCTCGAATCTGAGTAGTTGCAAGATACATTGTCTTGATAGATAATATATGAACCCTTGATTTTGTTCCAAAACTCCATGCTCATTATATGTGGTTGATCACCAATCCCTACTACGCTTGTTCTCGATCACTGTCATATAATTCTAACAATTTGGCTTGATTTGATGTTGTTGGGTGCGTTTGTAGTCGACTTCCAAGAAAATATCGTATCGTCATATGTGAATCTGTAACCTGTCTAAAATCATACTAAATTTGATATTTCTAGACCAAGTATTTTGTTGTCTTACTCTTGTGAGAAATTAGGATTTTATGTATAAATATGAGCGGACAACTATGTGGTATGTTCAATAGATGTACTTTGTCCATATTTGAAATGTGTTAACATTTACTAGATGTAATTTGTCTAGTAGACAAATGTACTTATATCGATGTAAAATGTAAGTCGATACATAATTTCGTCATGCCAAGATCTTTCATCTCAAAATATCTCTCAAAGAGTTCAACAGTTTTTCTTATCTCTTCAGGAGATCTAATTATGTTTATAAGTTGACGTAAATGTTGTACTCCCTCCGTCCCCCATACATCTTCCCATTAACCCTTTTTATTTGTCCCACATAGATCTTCTCATTACCTTTTTTAACATTTAAAATACCACAACTACCCCCACTTACTTTATTTATTACACCTTTTCCACCTTATTTAATACACCCACCCATTTTCATTAAGGGTATTTTGGTAAACTTTCACCTTTTTTCAACTCTCCTTAAAAACCGCAAAAAATCAAAACGAGAAGATCTTAGGGGGACGGAGGGAGTATTTAGGTGCCCTAGCGGCAATCAAATACCTATGTAACTGTACACTTTATCATGAATGAAAGGCCTTGAAGTATGTTTTATATCTCGTGTAACATAACATAGCTTCAGTCCATAGACGATAGCGCTTCAGTAACATAGATGAGGACTACGATGTTCTGATTATGAGACTGTTACTTCTTGACGAAGGCTGTGTCTAGAATATCCCTAGTCACACTTTATGATAATACGAACGTCATAACGTATCAAGACTAGTACGTACGAGATGAGATAGTTGCGTCTCATAGACTATAGGTATTGTGATATCTTAATCTGTACGTAGGTGCATATTATATTGATAATATGTGACTGGATTGACCCATCTTGAGAATACTGCATGGATCTACAGTAATGTGTTTATCAGTATTCTCAAATCCACCTTGCTATAACTATCCTCAGACTTGAAGTTATTACATTCTCTGATATGTGGGGCCGTATGCTTTGATTCATAACTAATGCTATCTGAAATACTGGTAGACGTACAGTTATGCGTTGGGTATACCGCTAAGCATATTTAGAGATGTGAATAACAGATACAGGATCTGTCCCTTCTACTGTATAGAAGTATAATGTCAATGGGCCCACTGAATAGTAGGACTTGGGAAAGTGTATGGCCATGCCCAGATAC